TTACTCTTTAAAATATGAAACTCATATAGTTTGGTACTTCTCTATGTTTTACTCTTATATATGGCGATTTCTTAATATTCTTTTATGATTTTTAGCTTTTAACTCATTTTATGGACCTTAAAACATGCAATGATGAGATCTATTAGGCCTTGTAAAAAGAAAAAAATCCAAATATGAGAAATTTCACATATTACATTTAAATTTTAAGATCAAATAAAATAACACAACTCTTGGTACGTGTGCACACTTTTTCCATGCAAAATAATCCACCGCCAACATTTCCATTTATTCATTCCTAACTATAGGAAGTTTTCTGCATTTTTGTAAATTAATTTATATGGAGTAATTATAATAGTTGGGAAAATTTGTTTTCTCTAGCCAAATAACCAAAAGTACTGACATGGCCACATTCACTTAAACACACATTCTCGAGTATATAAAGCCATAAAGAACAATGCGCTTAGTGAACTATTATCATCAGACTTAGGCCTTTGCCAATTAACAATACTACTACCTTCACGAACTATCTTAAAAATGAGGTTTGAATATGAACTTCCCTTGTTGGTTCTCTCACTCCTATTCTCATTTATTTCTTCTGAGCTCACAAATCCAACTACGCCCACATATTGGTTTTCGAGGGATCAAGTAATGAGGACAGTGCCTTCCGGTCCGAACCCCCTTCATAATGGTGCATCTCCTTTTTTCCCTCCGGTGTATAAAGTGTTTGAAATCGATGTAAAAAGAACAGTGCCTTCTGGTCCAAATCCCCTTCATAATGGTGCCCCTCCTTTTTTCCCTCCGTCGTATAAAGTGTTTGAAAGCGATGTAAAGAGGACAGTGCCTGCTGGTCCTAACTCTCTTCATAATGGTGCCCCTCCTTTCTTCCCGCCACCGTATAAAGTCTTTGAAAGTGATGTAAAGAGGACAGTTCCTTCTGGTCCGAACCCCCTTCATAACGGTGCTCGTCCTACACTCCCTTTATATAAGGTCCTCGTTGAAAGCGATGT